GTCTTGTCTCTCCCTACTCAATACAAGTTCTCTGAAAGCAAAAATGATGTTTTATCCACTTCTGTGTCCTTACCACTTACTTCAAAGTAGCTTCATAGCTTGTCATATTGTGTGAGGGCATCATTTTAGGCAAAGAATCAACAGAAGGAAACTCATAGGGACACAAAAGTCACAGCACGAAGATAAAAAGCAACAAATGCTCTGCTTTGGTTGAAAAAGTAGAGTTAATTACCAAGACTGATACATAATTTGTTAAATATCCCATATTGTGCAAAAGGTATATATATATATATATATATATATATATATATATATATATATATTCATATACATATATTCTATTAAAATTGACAGTGACCCTAGGATTCATGCATGATTACAATCCCCATTGTACAAGTAAGGACAATGAGGCAAAAAACAGGCTAACTAATTTGCTTACGAACACAGCTGTGAGAGGCAGAGCCAGGATCAGAGCACAGCTCTTGGTTTCCATATCAGGTTCCTGTCCCTCCCAACATACAGCTTCTGATTGGGACTCTGTTATGTTTATCTGAGATATGAATATTTAGGGAAGGTTAAAATATTTTGGAAAATGTAAACATTACTGAACACTAATTTTGCCATGTGAAAATAATTAACAAAACCTAACAGCCTGAGCAATTGTCCTATCTCCTTTTAAGTATTTTTAGTGGAATTTCAACATACTGAGGCTTACTCTATTCTGAGGTATATGTTGAGTACTAGGTAAAAGCTAACCTTTTAAAACAAATTCTTAGAAGTTCACTCAAAAGTGAAGGCCTCTAATTTTTTTTTCTCTTTACTTTACTTTTCTTTCTTTCTTTCTTTCTTTCTTTCTTTCTTTCTTTCTTTCTTTCTTTCTTTCTTTCTTTCTTTTTTGTATGAGGTACAGGGTCTCACTGCACAGCTCAGACTCATAGTGATCCTCCTGCATTCAGCCTCCCCAGCGCTGGGATTACAAGCATGGACCACCACAGCTGGACTTGATAGCTGGCTCAGAGAGCCCCTGGGGTGGGGTCAGCGCAACCTGTGGAACCTGTATTGAACCCTAGTCCCTGCATTTGCCAAAACAGGCAGTTAGTCTGCTGAGCTATCTTGCCGGCCTTAAGTGAAGGCCTCTGGAGCAGAAGAATTTCCACAATATCTAGAAATTAGTGTGATGTAAGTAACAAAAGCAGTCAAAACTTGAAAAATAAACACACTTTTATTATTTATCCTAAAGTAGTAGTCTAGATCTTACTAAACAAAATGCATGTGAGAAAGAAAGAAATAAGGAAGGGCTGGCGGTACAGCTCAGCGGACTAAGTGCTTGCTTAGGTAAGCAGAAGGGCCAGGGTTCGATTCCTGGCTCCTCATGCTGCACCAGCCCACCCCCGGGTGCGCTGAGCCAGCAATGAAGTCCAGGCGTAGTGGCATGGGCCCGTAATCCCAGTACTTGGGAGGCCGAAATCAGGGGGATATGAGCTGTGAAGTGAGACCCTGCAAAAAAAAAGGAAACTAAAAATAAAAAAGAAAGAAAGAAGGAAGGGGAAAATATGTATTCATATGTTTATGTATATAAATATATATATATGTATATATACACACACACACAGGATACCTTGAATAACTGTACTGATGACTTCTGTGGATCTATTGAAAGGAGCAATTAATGCTTACTTTTCTCTTTTTAATTTCCTATCACTGTTTTGGGCCAATTTTTCATGCTTATCTAAATAACTAATTTGAAGATAACATTCAATATAACAATCATTGTTGAATTCTTATGATTTTGTTTAGTGAAGTTCTGCATCATTTTAATGCTATTTTGCTATTCTTAATTTTTTAAAATTATTTTTGACTTTGACAGCAATTGTAAAATTATAAAAGTGAATCTGTATTTTTCATAATTCAGCAGAAGCTCCATCTCCCAGAGATGTATAACCATAAAATAAGTTGACAAGATACATAATAGTTCATAAAAAATTGTGATTTCAAATATCATTTTATAATTTTGATTAATTCATTCATATGTGAGTTCTACATTCAATTCAAAGTAATTTGAAGGTAGTGTGTGGTAAGATGAGAGGGTTTTATGGAATTTTGCATTAAGGTGGCTTCATCACTATTTGTTTTCTCTTATAGTGAGCTCTATTATCTTCAATATAAAATTAGCAGATCAAGCATAAGGGAGCATAAAGAGTTTTCCTAAGTTCAAAGTACTGATCAGATCTGTAGTTGCAAAATATGCAGTGTGTTTTAAAATTTGTCCAAAGTCATAAAGTCCATCATTAGGTAAAGATTTAAAACATTATCTTCTACCTCATTGTGTTATCCCTCTATGTAATTTTTCTGTAAAACCACACAATTGGTGCTACTTTTGTACCTTACAACACTGGTAGAACCTCTACCAAATTTTTAGTGGTATCTTTTTCAGGATTTTTAAGAAAGCTTTGAGTATGTGTATTATTAGACAGCAACCATACAGTTGTTTCTACACTGGTTATTGATAGGTTCTCAGTGCAGCTTAGGAACAGGCAGAAGGAAGGAGGGAAAGGGCTTCATTTTGTTTGAGAATAGGGAGAGAATTCCTGCGGTCAAGGAATTCTCTGAACTGGACAAAGGAAGGCTGAGGCTTTTATGACCTTTTGTCAGGCATGGAGATTGGAGAGGATGTTTAGATACACCTGAGGGAGCTGATCGGGGTCTTCCCTGAGGCAGTGGGAAGGATGAAAGTAAATTATGTCTTGGGATAAGTTGCGGAAGAAGGGAAGGTGGTCCTGGGAGCATAGGCCTTTGTTTTAAGAGCCTCAGCCATATTAGATGACCACCACAATGATTTCAGCAATTCCTATGAGGACCCAAACTTATCAGTTATATGCCAAATGCCATACTAGTGGATATAATTTGTCTCAGTGATTACAGACTACCTTTCCTATCATGTCAGTTATCATACACTAAAGCAGTTATAGTCTACATTTCAGAAACCTGAGCAGATTTACAAATATATGGAAAAGGAATGTTGGGACCTAAACTAGAAATTAAGAAGAACTGAAGCAAAGGATGGAGGACACCTTGAGAAAAAATACTCCACAAGGAAAGAAAGAAGAACAGAAGTTACTTGAACTCGACAGTGAAGATATGAGATGATAGAGAAAGTGGTAAGGTGTGAAACAGTTTTAGTGCAAAAAAAAAAAAAAAAAAAAATGTCACCAGGAAAACCAGAAATTACATGTTTCTGTTTTAAGGAAAACAGGAAAAAATAAATTAATTGAGTTTTTGATATTCAGGGGGTCCGGT